GGCACCCACTCAGTGTTGCCACTTTTCTTTGACAAAAAATATCCAAAACGGTGTCAAAAAATATCTAAAAAGATCTAAATCTGCCTGGAAAAGATCTAGAAAAAACATCCAAATTGAAAAAGTAAAAAATTACATAGCTTTTGTTATGACTTACCCTACATAATCATGTCCTCACCTTCACTGATGTCTGCCGCACAGGATCCACAGGATAAACTTAGCTTGGATAATGAAGATGAAGCTTCAGATCCAAAATGACCCTGGTATGCTTTAGCTTTTCAAATTTCTTTGTAAGTGGAACAGTAGGCTTATTTCTCTAGTCTCATCAAGCCGAATTTTAATGGCACGATATCATTTAAGAGGTCAAATTTCATCCTGTTTTTTAGGTTAAATTTGATATAATTCCTAGCACTGAAAACTCTTTCTACGTCAGCAGTTGAGTGGGGTAGTATCATGGCAGACATGGCACTTTAAAGAGCTTACAGAATGGACTATTTGATGAGGCATCTTTAAATTGTCTCACTTCACTCCAAAACGCTTTAGTTTCTGTTTCGTTTGTCCATTCAGCTAACTTTATTTTGGTTAACTGATATTCTGCTTCCGAGACACTATTAGCAGTAGTCCCTAAAAATTTCATAACTACAATATTTAGGTATGTCCTTTATTGGCTGAAGTATGTTGCTCACTGAAAAAAGTGAAATATTTTTCAAAACATCTAGATTTTCAGGAAGTCTCTGCTTCAATTGCTTCAATAATGAGATAAGGAAATCTTGACAGCGTTTTCTTAAGTTGTTCTCTTCATTCTCTGTTAACAGTCCTTTTGTTTTTAAATCATCAATTTTTGATTAGATTTAATATCCAAGGTGTGGTTTAGGCACCAAATAGCTCTCTATAGTGCAAGTGAGCAAATCAGCTTTAGAAGTTGGCACACCAGTCTTTTACCTAGTGAAATAGCAAGGTGAGATCATCAAGTAATTTAACTTTATCAACAAGTTTAGATTCGAACAGTTTATTTACTTTTTGCACTTCCATTAGAATAGGTTATAAAAAGAGAATGAATGACACATTGTTTTCATTACTGTACATTCCATATAGTATTTCAGCTGTGTAGCACTTTTCACTTTGTCTTGTTATTTCAAAGTGTGTCTTCAGCTTCAGCCATTGCTTCATAAATCTTTCAACAGCTGGTTAAATTGATAACCATCTAGTTTTGCAATCTGACAGAATTGTCGGTGGTGTGGAACCATCATTCAAGGCTGTAGATAATGTATTGTATTGCTGTTGTCTGACAAATGATTTGGAAAACCAGTAAAGTGTTTCAGCAATAAGGTATTAAAATTGCTTGGTAAATATTTAGATAAAGCATGTGATAATGCTAGCTGCAATGAACGACGCATACATTTTATAAGTATTAACGATGGGTTAGCTTCCCTCAACTTGGCATAAACGCCATTGTTTATACCTCCCATCACTGAGGCATTATCAGTACCAATTACAGCCGAATTCTTCAAGCCTAACTGTTTGCTGATTAAAAGGTCCTTCAGTTCCTAAACTATACTTTCTACACCACACTTTTCAAATTGAACTAGTCCAAGATTTTTTACAAATCGATCAAATGGTCACAGTTTGAAATTGCGCAGTGACAAATTAAAAACATTGCGGCTGATACTTCAACTTTTGATGATTCATTTATCAGTATAGTTCTGAAAACAGATGTCAGCGGTGTAATATCTTTAAATGAAAGTGCAGTTTTATGCTTTTTTAGTCTCTGCATGACTCTTTGAGTTTTGTATTTTCGCTTTAATTGCACACTTGCAGTCCTTACGACAAGCTTTGGTCATATCCCCAGTTTTTAATTTTGTCATCATGCAACCACTCTTTCCAATTTTTTTGCTCATTTTTTACTTTTGGCATGTTGAAAGGTTTTTTCAAAGTGAAAGCCACATAAGAAGGTGAGCAATTATTTTTTTAATCACATGAAAAAGAAACGCAAAGTCAGCACAGTGAAGATACGGTTGAAACAAAGTTAGTATGATTTACGCGCGTTTTTATTAATCAGTACCGGGGCTGCCAGATATTTGTGCGTTGACCCCAGTGAGAGTTCAAAGTTCAAGTAATGGCAGTTGTCACAATGTACATGTCAGACCAAAACAAAAATATTGTAGTAAATATTTTACACAGTAATTATTAAATTGACAATGAAAGGGAAAAAAATCTATAAAATATCTAACTACATATGAAAAGTATCTAGAAAATTATTTACGATCTAAACGTCAAAAACAGTATCCAAATAATAATGAAAAAGATCTAAATTTGGATATAAAAGATCCAAAGTGGCAACACTGCACCCACTATAGTCTTCAGTATTAGATGGTGAGGTCCCAACCTCCTCCGCGGCGTGAATCACGTACGAAAATGGACCCCCCCCCCCCGACCCCCCCCCCCCCCCCCCCCCCCCCCCCCCCCCCCCAATTTTTTTTCCCCAAGCCTTTTTTCAGTGTCAAGGTACTTGAGCACGTACACACAATACATCACACGTACGCATCATACACAGGTACAGGGGACACAACAACATGAGTAAATATGTTGTACATATATTTTGTTTACATCCATGATTCAGAATTGTTTTCATGCTATGACACTGCACTGATTTCCGCGTCTGTGGCTTAGGCGGTGCGAAAGCGCATCGTATTGCCGGGGTGCTGGGTTGAATCCCAGCTGCTGACAATCTGTATTGCGTTGGTTTCGACAGTGATACCGAGAGCTGACCGTTCAGTAAAGCAATGACAGACTACTGAACGTCAATTTGTGTTAAAAAAAACAAACACACCACAATAGCCAAAAAATGTTGCGGTTCGTTCTGCAGCGTCATATAAAGGATAAGCAGCTAACTTTTAATTTGCAGTGATACATGAGGCCCACAGTGTGGTTGTTTTTATAAGTATCAGTTATACTCAGGCACTGCCACATGTTTTGAAATAAGATGGTCTTGTGCATTAGGTATACATTTGCTGATGTAGTGAGATTGTTAATATCAATCGCCTACATTGTAAAAATAACACTGCAAAGTGAAACTCAACTCGCTTCATGATAAGGAATTTAATGTCCCTATGGGACCAGCACACAGTATTGACACAATGTCCAAGAATCGTGGGAAAAGATTCTTCAGAGCTTTTTAAAAAATATTTAAATGAGAGAGACGGCTGTATGCTTGGCTACAGCTTCGGCACCTCATGTATTGCGTCTTTTGCTGACAGCAGTTTTTTAAGCTACAATGATTTGTTATACCCCATTTCATGTTGAACAGTCTGTAGCAAGAAAACCGCTCACCTGGATAATTTCAAAGTTTTGTCTGAATACTCGTGTATAAATCACAAATTCAAATTAAAGGAATATAAGAGAATTATAGTGCCTAGGAGCATGTACTCAAGCAATTTCCATAAGTGCTACATACACACACACACACATTCACACACATATAAACACAATACACTCACAAATACATACATGCGTGCATACATAGATACAGACATACACGCATCCATGCATACAGACACACTCAAGCACACGCGGACAGACATTCACAGTCACACGCAGACACGCACACAGAGACAAACACTCACACAGACACACACAGACACACAACACACACAGACACACACAGCGCGCACACACAGACATTCACAGTCACACAGGCATGCACGCACACACACACAGACAAACACTCACACAAACACACACAGACACACACGGCGCGCACACAGACACACACGGCGCGCACACATAGAAGTATACATACCCAGAGACACATGAGATGAGAACGAACGAACAAACTTTTTTTTTTTCAATGGGCACGCAGGCCCGTCTAATATTCTGCCCTTTCAGTACACTCCTTGAATACTGATATTTATTCATACATTATTTCATAGGTAATAATATAATTTAAAAAATAATAATTTAAAATAATAATGTTCGCAACATATAGGTGAGATGAATAGAGGCGGGTGATATCTGCAGCAATGAACCTCAAGTGCTCGGAATGCTGAAGAATAAGATGATATAAAAACTTTTTTTTTTCAAATCAATTGAGAAAACGCATTGTAATTAACTTCTTTTACCTATGAAATCACTCATTATATTATTTTGTTTTTCGATTTTTGAATCAGTCTGGATTACTAACTGTTTTTATGTATATAAGCAGTTTATTGTATTTTTTTTTTTTTTTTCTATTTCCATTCATCGAATCAAGGCATTATATTCGACCCCCCAGACACTGATATGTGGGCACCTCTCCTGGAAGATTTGAATTTCCGGAGCGGTGATAAGGTAGAGATCAGTCGTTCAGCCCGCCCACTCAGCGAACAGGATGCTGCAGGAGGAGTTGGACAGAATCAGCGATGTTGTTCACAAGTTTAGCAGCGATGTGGACGATCTGGTTTCTAAAAGAGACAGGGTACACGTACAATTGTGCTTTAGTTGTAAAAATATACATGTTCTCATCTACAGTTGAAAGGCGTCTAGGACCAACAGTTTCGGCAATTAAGCATACTGTTATCTACAAATAATTTCAAGACTATAAACAACTAACAAATCAGTTTGAAAAACATGTTAGAACTTGTGTAAAACTGACTGTTTGCAGATACAAATGTAATTGGGTTTCTGAAACGTTCTGTTTAAAAATAAAATCATCCACATCAGTTTAAGGATAATTATATTAGCCGATGCGCATGTTTTGCTCTCGTGATAAGCCAAGGCTTAATATTCTTTTTTTTTATACATTTGAAAAGTGCATTCAACTCAACGATAGACATACACCATATAATAATAAAGGGGAATGTGTGTGTGTGTGTGTCTGTGTATGCGTGTGTGTGTGTGTGTGTGTGTGTGTGTGTGTGTGTGTGTGTGTGTATGTTAAGTAATAATGCTGTAAATAAAATCAACTACCTCAGAGGTAACTTCCTGAAATATATTCATTCACAAATGTGTACTCCTAACTTGCTTAGGTTCAGCAAGGTTATATGGAAGGTGGAAATCAGGTTATGGCCCTGACATTTCTGAGACGGGACTTTGAGAACATCAAAGAAAAACTCATGGAAAACATTCAGGTTAGTACATGGATGTCAAATGCAGCTTTCTGCTTCTAGTGCCTCTAATCTAGGCAGTCGAGAATGCTACAATGGTTTGGCGTATTTTTGTTATTCATGTTTTGTTTATCTGCTACAATTTAATCCTAAAATATACAGCACACTTGTGAGTGTTGAGGGTAATATTACACGAATCCATGTATACCCATTTGTCAAGATTAGGATTTTAACTCTTTGAGTACCAAGGAACGCTTCATACGTTCATAGGTTTCTACCCAGAAACCCAATTACCGCATGATGCATCGATTTTAGTTTCTGTTCACTACCCCTTGAGCCTGTGATGCTAAACCCCCGGGACTCAAAGAGTTAAAGAAGACGGGGGAGGGGGAATTCGTCATCACTGAGTAACGTCCTATGCAGAAAATCATTGCCTGTCTCATACACTAGAGTGCCTAGTGTCTATATTGTCATTTCACATCGTCACATTTGATTGTGCATTAGGACATTATTAATTAATTGCATGTCACTACGTGGGAGTTATCCTATAATTATTATTATTTGCAGTCCTGACCTAACACAGTCATTGTCAAGAACCTTTTGTCTGCCGTACCGGCACGTGGCTTGTCTTGTAGGTCCGCGACAGATAAATACACACACTAAAACCAAACCCCTACAGAGCACATAACAATCTTTAATGGAAAGAACAATACAACAGCACACAGATGACCTCAGAACTCGTTGGTACCCCTATCTGAAACCAAGGACGTGAGGGCTTTACAAATCATGCTGTTTATTGTTTTGTTGTTTTTTTTTTTTTTTTTTTTTTTGCACAGCAAAATCCAGTATTCCTAAATTTAACATGATGTTCTGCGCGGTCTTCTTTGTAGACTTTTGTTTTATTCAAAGAATAAAGCAGAGATGAAGATCTATATTTACTTCTACTGAACACGCTATTATTGTTCTCGGCAGATGAACGTATTTGTTGTACACTTGACTTCTAATCCAAAATTTTCATGATGCTTACTGTTCGAGAACAGTGGTTTCTTTCGGATTACAATAAACATAGAACAAGTAAAAACTCTTGGTCATTTCAAAAACAAGCTCTAAAGGTCGGTTGCAGGCTAAAAAAAACAACAAACACGAATATCAGTCTACAACAGACAACTTAAAACAGTCGATAAGTTACGGTATTTGTGTGTTTATACCGAACTACCGGGAACCACCGATGGTGATTTATTTTATTATAACTTCACTAAGATCAAATTATAGCGCTCTTATAATCATATCTAGGTTTGCCGGTTGGCCATAATTTGTTTGACTTCAATCACATAATAGTATCATATCTGTTTGCTAAATGTTTACAAAGGAAATGTTACCTACATCTTGTAGTTTACAAGTAAATGTAATATGTTTAACTGATGAACAGATCCTCAACTCCCTGAACTTTGATCACCGGAACGCCTTGGGTCAAGCTAAACGACGTGAGCTGGTCGATTTTTGTCAGCGTCAGATTGACAAGTGCAGTGATATGTCTGCTTACATCTTTCACAAGCTAGCCCAGGCTCACTATTTATCCAACGTTGGGAAAATCTACACTCATGATTTTCGTCTGTCACCTTCCAGCAACAAATGGGCTAAGAAAAAACAGTAGTTTTCATGTGGTTTTTTGTTTCGCAGGGATAACTAAGAACCAGATCCTTCTGGACAAATGTTAACAGTCTTTTCTGCTTCAGACAAATCCTGTTAAATTTTGTAATGTGTACGGCTAAATAAAAGATACGCTTCTGTCTTAACAATGCCTATGAACACTTTGTTAAGCTTATACACATTTTTGATTTCCGAGCTTAACCCCAGAACTACTATTCATCCCATATATTTTAAACACTAAATGTTTACCCCCACTTTTTTTAAATTTTTTAATTTTTTTTTACAATTTGAAATCCTGGTCCCACTGACATAATCCATTCTCAAAATGTAAACATTAATATATGATTTAACAATGTATGACCGCATAACACCTGAAAGCAATGAGTGTAATATCTTTTTGTATATGGTTTTTAGTTTTTGCGTGTTAATCAAGCATTTACGATGTCAGATATGAAATAAAAATCAAATGTGTGCGTTTAAAAACTTCGCGAAGTCGTCTGGTCAAATAGTTCACTGCTGCAAACAATTAAGTTGAGCTCAGAATGAGTGAATGCCATTATTTCGTACACGTCCATGTGATGCAGTAGTTTTTGTGGACGTCTCAGTATTTCCGTTGCTCACACTTTGTTCTCGGCTCCACTCTTTAATGCTTGCAGGTCTCTGTATTTCACACTGATACCATACCAAAATAGCCTCTGATGTTGGATATTATTCAGTAGCTGCCTAATCCACCCCCCCCCACACACACACACACACAAGCGAGCGCACGCACGCACACACACACACACACACATCAACAGGTCTCTAGTCTTTGTTTGAGCATTTGTGTGTGTGGTCCGTTTGCAATCTGCACCCTGAAATAACACCACGTCAAATAATTCAACAACAACAACAACAACAACAAAAGCATGTTTGTTTCCTGTACCAAAGGCTGATTTTGCTTTGGTCTGAAGGAAAAATAAAGAAGGGCCCATTTCCATCTTGTGAGGAATTGTTATATGTTCTGCATATATTTGTACAGACCACACGAGACTTAGCGGTGAAATGATTAGTGTCATGCATGTTACAGTTACCAGGAAGAGCATTCTTAGTACCTAATTACTTAAGACTAGGTTTAAAAGAAAAATGAAATGCCAGGTTGGGATTTTAATATATATTAAATATTTTTAAACTGCTGCAGGGTATCGAATATTCGGTACTTGAAATTTCTCATATAGCTGACGATTACTGGTATTATAAAACTAGTTTTTTTGTTCTTCCCTAAATATTGTCATGACTGGCGATTTATCCCTTCCATCTGAAAGCTACACTCTCCTGTGTGGCATTTTGTTGGATGTCATAAATGCACTGTAATATTAAACAGCTAATTTATTAAAATCATACATTTTATTAGGTCATAATCTACATATGTACATCGCTAGTGCATGGGGTGCGTATGTATTATGTTGAAACAGGGGGAGGGGTGAGGAAAGGGATTTGAGCATCCATGGAGGTGTCCGGAGTGCTGTAATCTATTGTGATTAGTGATTAGAAAGGATTATCATCACAGCACTCCGAACAGATCCATAGCTGCTCCGATCTCCTCCTCAAAAGCTCCACAAGTGTAAAACGACTGATGACTCCTGTTCTGTGTTGGGTAATGAAACGTCTTGTCCTCTTAGTGAAATGTTCATTTCTTGCAGTTCCAGGCTGCACCCCCATGTCCATCAGTCTAGACAGGGATATGGAGTCATGTCTTTTTACGTGCTCCTCGGTACGGTAAGTGCAGCGCATGGCATTGATAACATCACTTCTATCCAGTACTGGGCCAGCAATAGCAAATGCAGTGTCAGCAAGATAGTCTGCACGCTCGTTCCTTTGAACACCTGCATAACTGGCACAAAGATAAAGGTTAGGGCAGATATTGGTGAAGTGCTTAGTTTTTCAATCCATCCTTGACTGATAAATCCAGCTTGGATTTTTTTTTAAAGCACATTCATCGAGTCACCAAGAATACATACATGAGTAAACTTTTTAGTACAAGCCATGCTAAAGTCCCTGTTACAGCCAAAGTTTCCATTGTAAGGCTACTAGTTGTAACAGCAAAAGCGCCATTTATTTCCTTGATAGTTTTTCCCCTTGAGCTTACTGTAAAGGCCCATGCACTTTGCTTACCCCTAATTACTGACCTATCTGTATAAACTATAGCATCACCTTCATCTGTGTTTTCGTCAATCAGTGTTCTGACAAAAGTGTCAACAATGCCAGGAATATGCTCTTTACAGCTTCCATCCAGTGTTACTGTAACCTATTTCATAGTGCATCATGTCTGCCAATCGTAAACAATAATACTGCGGTACAGTTTGTATTGTAATCACATAATCAGAAAACAGAACGTCAGCACAAAACCTGTGCTGCAAACGTGCGTGACATGTGTTTGATTTTCACGACATTCGTCCACTTAAGTAGCTATTGGACCAAAATAAGCTTCCTATAAGATAGTCTTCTGTATTTTTTGTATTTTTTTTTTTAATTTCTTGTCAGTGTGGGCCAAATAAACGTCGGTCATCTAAAAAAAAAAGTTCTGAATTTACAAATAATAGCAATTATATGTTGCTGATTAAGTCTATGTCTTACGGGTCATCAAAGAACAACAAATGAAGTGGTTTGGACACCAAACAAGAATGCCCTGGTACTATATGCCACAGCGAGCCACACTGAAACGGTATTGAGCGAACGGAAGATTTCGGAAAATACGGAGTGATTGCATTAAGAACTTCAATCTTAATACTGCTCTTAAAAGAGCTCATCAACAAACGCTACATCTTCCCCCGACACTTCGCTGAGGTACAAGTAAATATTATAATTTTTATCACTCTTATTAAAGCTCTATAATAGAACAGTCAGAAAATATCAGATATCTTGTTCACTTACACGGGCAGTTAGTTTGCGTCGGGTCACCTCTCTTGTAACCAATAATGTTCAAAGCCTTCAAAAGGAGAACAATAACAAGCACTTTCTCAACCAGAGGACACACATGTGTTTCACGTGCTTTGTGCAAAACAGTCTTCATATCATCTTTCTGCTTCGTTTTGAAAAATAAATATTATTCCAGTAATGTAAACAGTAAACTGAAAAGAAATAGCTACTTTTTTTTTCAATGTCAAATTCAAGATGAAAATAACTAAAATGCAACATTTGTCAAAAGAAAAGGTAAAATGTGTGTGGATTTTTTAATTGTATATGTTTTACTGCGATTCTGTACATAATTACACTATCTGTTTTTAAATAACCTTTAAGCTTTTTTTTAATGCTTAGATGGTATTTACTTTGAAATAACGAACAAATATATGCAATTAATAAAATGTTTTACCTTTATTATTACCAAACGCGATTGCTTTCTAATAACCTTGCGAGTGTATTTATTTATATTTATAATTCAAGCTATGATTATTAAATGTTTCAGCCCACACGTTATGGATACTTTTTTTTTTTTCCTGGCACATTTTTGCTATTCTTTTCCTTACTCAAAACTACTTTTGTATCACTTTAAGTTTAAATAGTAATTTGTACACAAAAGCACAGATGGGTCTTTCGACGAAACAGAAGTTGCACAGATGCCATTTATACACTGAGACAACTACCTGAGAGCGCAATAGACCAATAGATTCGAACTGAGGTGGTCAAATGCAGCATGTGTGTTCTAGGAAAGTAACCTTTAGCCAAACTCAAAGGAAAAGCCATGTCTTCTCTCCCTCCCCCCAGCCACTCAATTTTTTTTTAAACTGCTCTTATATGCACCAAATTTCTATTAATGTGCATGTAACATATCTATACATAATCGTATACAATACTTTCTTGGAAAGGGTTGGAGGTAATACCATAATAAGAAGTGATTTTTGCAACTTAATTTTTAGACAGAAGTAATCTTATATGCGTCGAGTGGTCCTCTTAGAAGCCACAAGCGAGTACACTGTACTTGAAATGGGAAATAAAGTAAAGGCGAGTGCGAATCACCATATAACTAACGACATGAGCACTGCATCAGTTGGCTTGATCTCTCCTAATCCCGCTATGGCTGGTTGGTACCGCACAATTTTCCAGCTTGGTGTTAGAAAGAGCAGTAAACCACAATATATTCTCTGAAAAACTGGAGCCGGAGAAGATCTTCTTGTAGGTGTTTAGTTTTTAAACCGTAATTCCATGGATGTTGGCTGATAAACATTTTTATAGCTTTTTTTTTTTGTAAACCAAAGATCTGCCAGTACTCAGCGCAGAAAATACTAGCTCCCAGAGTCAAAGAGAGCTAGTGAATTTTTTTAAATGTTGAATTAAGAATTGACATCACAGAGCTCGGGACACTCCCAAAAGTGCTTCGTCCCCATCTTCAGCAGCAAACAAAGATTTTTATTTCCGATGGCACCAGTAGCCGTCTGATTGTATATCCGTTTCGTCCTTCCCCTGAGCTTTGAGGATGGCCAGATCCCTTGGCAACTCCCCGCTGCGCCATCTCCTCAGACAGTAATGATCTATCTGCGCCTCCGCACTGTTCACTTGCTTCCAGAGAAACCTCACAACGTCTAGCTTGTCATACATCAGATCACCACGAAGTGGCGCAGAACTGACCAGTCTATCTGCCTGGTCATTTCCCAACACATCGGCATAACCTGGAGAGAATATCCAACGAATGCTAACTACCCAGGACCACTGAAGTAATGCTTGCCACTGTGCACCGAGCATAGTTGTCTCCTCCTTTCTCAACATGCTCTGTGAGTCAGTGACAATCACCACGGCATGTGTGTACAACTGATTCTTAGGCCAGCCAAAGGCAGCAATGGCTGCCTCCACCTCTATTCTCAAACTAGAGGTTGTGATATCATATGTAAGGCTTTGCTGCACTAAGCGACGTCCATTCGTCTTTGCTGCAAGCTCCCATGCACTTCGTCTGCTCCTCAACACAAAGCCATCTGTATAAATAATCACATCACTTGGGCGGGAATTGTCATGAATCATTTGTTTGATTCT